TGTAAAGCACATTTGTTGTACAATATTCTTAGAATCTTACTTAAATACCATGGGCTTAACTTATAATAGGGATCCTTATAATAAGGATCCCAAATTATTTCCCTCTAAAATAACCTCTCTTTCATTAGAAATGTACTTAAGTATATTCTTGGCTTTGATTTGAGTCTATGCTAATATGCGATGCAAATTAATAGCTGTTCCAACAGAGTCAACCTATATGTGTGAGGCTTATAAAAATAAATACTGTTTGATGTGCACCGCACAATGGAACATGTAAATAGTCGAGAGGTAATACTTTAGGTAAAAAAAGATTTAATTCTCGGTAGACAAATCTTAATAATTCTCATATGATATTGATAGAATCAAATTTTCTAAGTGGGGGAAAACCTATGTTTTGTTTTTTTCCTGAAGTTTGGTTGCATGTGACAGTCATTCCCATGGCATATAGTATGTGTTCAAGGTGTCATTGAGTTAGTGCATGGTGGATGGATAAGTCCCTGTCACCGCCATGAGTTGATTCTAACTCTTAGCAACTCTGTGGAATAGAAGTACCCTTTATTGTTTTTGAAACGGTCAATCTCGATGGGAACAGAAAGGCCTATCTTTCTTCTATAGAGCTGCTGGTGGGTTTGAACTACTCGTCACGTGGTGACTCTCTCTGGGTAACTCTCTATGGCCAGGCTTCCTTGGATTGATAAGTAGGCACATTTAATATTTAATGCTAGTTCCGCTACTTGCCGATATTTTGAACCTGGCCTTTAACAAGACACTTATTCTTGAGCCTCAGTTTTCTGATCTGTAGGATCATCACACCCACATTCCAGCTGTGCTTTGGAGATGCACGGTCATGTATGGAACAGAGCAGGAAGTCACTACATGAATATGATTAATTCTGTGGTCCCTGACTGGTGCCAATTGCTAATGTACTGGGTTGCTAACCAAAAGTTGGAGGTTTGGGTCACCCAGAGACGGAGGAGAAGGGCTGGAGGCAGCCCCTGAAAATCCTATGCAGCGCAGCGCTCGGACGTGCCACCGGCAGGAGGCATCTTCTGGATGGCAACTGTTTGTTATTATTATTATTAAACACTTTTATTGGGGGCTCGTACAGCCCATCTCACAGCCCATGCATTCATCCATTGTGTCAAGCACATTTGTTCACATGTTGCTGGCAACCGGTGTTAGTATTTGTTTCAGTTGTTAGGAGGAGAACCTTTGTTTCAATGGTTTCCTTGTCCAAGAGCACACAGTAGGTGTCGAGATGGCAGTCATTAAACTTAGGAACGTTGTTGTTGCTAGGTGACCTTGAGTCGGCCTGGACCCATAGCGACCTTACACACAACAGAACCAAACGCTGCCCGGTCCTGCGCCGTGCTCACCATGGTTCCTGTGCCCGAGCCCATTGGTGCAGCCGCGGGTCCGTCCATCAGTCCATCTCACCAAAGGCCTTCCTCTTTATTTTTTTGGTCACAGAGTGGACAGGAAAGGGACTTGTAAACAAACAGCTTTGATTTTCTATTTTCTGTTTTTCCTTCTGACATCTCTCTTCCCTGGCTTCCCATTG